AAAAAAAAGGCAAGAAATTAGTTAAAAAAAAAAAAATTAAAAACAAGAAAATAAGGGGAAAAAAAGAAGCAAAAGAAAGTTTCAAGGAAATGACCTGGAAAGAGTGCTAAAAAATTATAATAATTCTGTAACATAATTTTAAAATGTAATAATATAATAAATATATGTAATAAAATGTAATAATATAATAAAAATAATAAATATTATCCCTATTTATTAAAAAAAAATTTGCAACTTGTGGGACATTTCTTACCAAGTTGCTTAATGCCTTTTTCTAATGTTATTCAAAGAAATCGCACCAATTTGCTCAAGGTTTTAAGGTTTAAATACTTGGGAAAGGTGTCTGAAAGCAACATGAGAAAAGTGATGTCACTCCAGGTTTGAAAGGGTTAAATAAGGGTCATTTACTGTATGTGTTCATACTGGAAAATTAATTTACCTAAAAAGAAAAACTAATCGCTAATTGGCAGACTCTCTTTCCACCCCATTCTCATTACCAGGGTGTCAAATACCACCATTTTGTCACGCCCCTTGACGGGGGGACCCTTTTCATGAGACACACTGGGCTTGCAGCTAACTCCAGTATAAACCCATCTGCGGCAGTACTTGAGGCTGAGAGCAACTGGTGTAGAATACAGAGCAAGAAAGCCCGTGTCGGAGGCTACGAAAAACTGTCTCGCTATATTTAAAGACTTATTCTCATTTTAGGGTAAAAATAATTGCACAAACACAACAGTAACTAATGATTCTTGAAGTGAAACTCATATTCCAATGTGGTATTTTTCATGCTGTGTAATGACTCCGTCCATGACCCATCCAAAGACCATGAATTGATCGATTTCCTCCTCGTCAAAGGATTGCACTTAAGCATTTCCTCTGGTTTCTGCTGAGCTGACGAGTTCAGGCATGACATTTCTCATATTCAGCAGCAGCACAGGTGACGGCTTCTGTGGGACGATGGCTGCGGTTTAATGCTGTAGCCTCCGCTCAAAACAACAAATCAGCAGAGGTGATCCCTTATACAAGACGGTTAACATAAAAATATATTTATTTATCTTTATTTTTTAAGGTTACCTGTCACTGTATGAGGCTTCAGATGATGCATCCTTGTGTTAGTGTTTATGTTGAGAGGATGGTGTTGAATGATTAAGATGTCCAGATGACCATTTATGTTGGTTAACTTCCGTGGAAGAAAATTATACAGTTTCATCTTTCAAGGCAAGTGGTCTCTTCCTTGTGATGTTAACATTTAAATTATCAATCAGCTCAAAACCGACATAAATGTGATATATTTACAGTGTATTTAAGGGACTGTATACAATGCAAAATGTGTGACGTTCAGTCCACAGTTGTGGATTGAACAGTATTTTATCAAACGTAAATCAACATGCTGAAACACTGAATGGAGCTGACTCTTAATTAGAAGGAGGTGTGGTACCAGAATCAATAGCTGTCTGCCCTGTTGAGTAGTCGTCATCATCAGAAGCAGTCTGAGGAGTAGGTAGACAAAAAGACAAAAAGACAATCAAGGATGGAAACCTCACACTTGTGGTTTCTCAAAACGAGCCCCTCCCGCTCCTCCATTAGAAATACAAGCCAGTCTGTGATGGCTTTGGCTAATGATGAGGTGTG